GGCCTTCGGAACAAATAGAGTAAGTACAAAATGCTAAAGGAAATGTCTTTTAGGATCTGGCAACTTCCAATTTGCAGTGTAGGTTATTATTTCTGCTAGTTGGATTTCAAGGCTCTTAATGTATTCTCCAGGGAAAAGGTGAAAGAACTAGAGGAGGATAAATAATTTTATCATTTATTTAAGCTGAAGGTTGTCCCCATGAGGTGCTAATCTTATTCACTTGTCATTGTCAATCAATTTATGATGCAAGAGGGAAAGGTGTAGGTGTGAGCTTTTAAATCACTGTGTATTATGTGCGAGTGTGGAAGCAGCTTCAGTTGTATAGGAAATACTGTAGCCTCTTCAATTTACAGAACTAGCTATAGAAAGAAATGTGAAATCCTCTTTCAAGCCTGTCATCTTTAATTATAATCTTCTGAAGGCTTTACAGATAATAGGTCCCATCTCTTTCATAGTAAATAGTTGAGTATAAAAAAGCGGCGTTGGCTTTCCAATGCCCAAGACAAATAGAGCTTTCAGTCTCCCTTCAGAAGCTTTGTCTATTAACAGAAACTTTTTCAAATAAATACTGTGTTGTTATTACATACAATGCTGTAGATGTTGTCATTGTTGACTTGAAGAGGTGAGGGGAAAACATACCCCCTACACATCCCTGGGGATTTATTATTAAGAAATCAATACCAGTAATGCTGCATTTTTGTGTCATCATTTTCTTCTTTGAGTTGCTTTACCACTTTTTCATAACAGCTGTAAGACTTTCTAGTCACCAGCTTAAGAGAAGCTTACTGAATTTCTTGTAATAAGCTATTCCTTAAAAATCTAAAAATGTAAAAGTCCTGCTTCAGACCGAGTGTCCAAATAGACCAAGTTCCTGTTTCTAACTGGGCATAAGCAGACTCACAAGGAGAGAAAGAACTTGAAAGACATAATTGCTTAAAACATTCTCTCAGCCTTCATCAGTTTTCTGCTCAGAGCATGATTCTGACTGACCCTAAGAGATGTATCTGCATCATTTCAGTTATGCTTAAACAAATGCTTAATGATGAAAACTTGATTAATGAGTTATTAAGAGTTGTCTCCTTGCATATACACTTGCAGATCTGCCATCCCCAGGCAAAATTTCACAGGGTTTTTATCAGCCATGTACAATGGACTTCTTGATTTTCCTTCTACAGAGGTGCTTACACAAAAGTGATTTTCGATCTCTGTTGGATGGAATACAGGGTGGATTTCTGCAGGTAAAGGTATTCTTACACTTGGAGTAGAAGATTTTAATAACAGATCCTTTCCTTTCCTTTCCTTTCCTTTCCTTTCCTTTCCTTTCCTTTCCTTTCCTTTCCTTTCCTTTCCTTTCCTTTCCTTTCCTTTCCTTTCCTTTCCACACCTTTCCTTTCCTTTCCTTTCCTTTCCTTTCCTTTCCTTTCCTTTCCTTTCCTTTCCTTTCCTTTCCTTTCCTTTCCTTTCCTTTCCTTTCCTTCCTTTCCTTCCTTCCCTTCCCTTCCCTTCCCTTCCCTTCCTTCCTTCCCTTCCTTCCCTTCCCTTCCTTCCCTTCCCTTCCTTCCCTTCCCTTCCCTTCCTTCCCTTCCCTTCCCTTCCCTTCCCTTCCCTTCCCTTCCCTTCCCTTCCCTTCCCTTCCCTTCCCTTCCCTTCCCTTTCCCTTCCCTTCCCTTCCCTTCCCTTCCCTTCCCTTCCCTTCCCTTCCCTTCCCTTCCCTTCCCTTCCCTTCCCTTGCCCTTCCCTTCCTTCCCTTCCTTCCCTTCCTTTCCCTTCCTTTCCCTTCCTTTCCTTCCTTCCTTTCCTTCCCTTCCTTTCCCTTCCTTTCCTTCCTTTCCTTCCTTCCTTTCCTTTCCTTTCCTTTCCTTTCCTTTCCGTTCCTTTCCTTTCCTTTCCTTTCCTTTCCTTTCCTTTCCTTTCCTTTCCTTTCCTTTCCTTTCCTTTCCTTTCCTTTCCTTTCCTTTCCTTTCCTTTCCTTTCCTTTCCTTTCCTTTCCTTTCCTTTCCTTTCCTTTCCTTTCCTTTCCTTTCCTTTCCTTTCCTCTTCATTTTCATATTTTATTTTAATATATTTTTTCCCATTGCATAAAACCAAGACATTTACAAATAAAGAGTACAACAAAACTCCTTTTCTATAAAGCATATTTCTATATTTCCATTTGGCATAGACTGACTTAAATTCTTTTCAGTTAACTTTCAGTTAACTTTAACCATTAAAAAAGACACTCAGATTTTCAACTAAAAAGATATATAAATATATATATACATGGAGATAAAATTATTCTATTTATTTATTTATTTATTTATTTAACAACTGCAGTAAGACATACACATGTATACAAGAGAAAAAAAAAGAGTTTCTAGTCAAGTGGTCAGAATATGTTGAAGATACTTCCAAGTCTGTGAATATTTAATTTGTTATTAAAATATTGAGAATTCTCATGAAAGAGACCAACTAGGTATGTGTAAATAAAAGAGTGCTGACACAAACTCAAACAAAGCACTTCTGCACTTTGTTTTGGATTGTCTTAATTAGATGTTTAAGGTAAATCTCAATCTAATCCAAGGTAAAACTCAAGCACTGTAAGCTTTGGCTCTCTCCACTTTCCACAGTCTTTCAAATTATCCTATAAGGATGCAAGTGCATCTCTCATGCAAGGACATGCAGCACATAGCTTCACATAGTGTTATGAAAACACTAATGTGGTGATCTGTAGTCCACCCATCTTTCAGGTTTTCTTTTTTTTTTTTGTTGTATTGTTTTTCATTTGGAAACAAAAACAAAGAAAAAAAAATAAAAACCAATACACAAAATGTAAGATTTTTTACCTGTGGAACTCATGAAGCCAAGAGGAGACAGAACACCAAGGGCTGTAGTTTGCAGATATAATCAGTTGCTCTAAAAAGAAACAAACTTGAGTAATATGGACACAAGGTGATGTCACATGTCCTCAGAACCAGGAACCAGGGATCACTCAGTGTCTCTCTTTTTATTCAGTAGTATAGACCCATTTACCTTGGAGGATTCACTAGAACAGATTTTTAGAAGGTGGATGTCTGAATCAGCCACAGGAACTGTCTGAATCTAACTTGCAATTGGTTGCACCATAAGCACTTCTGTACATTTCCCTTAGGAATGTTCTACAGCCTTGCTCAGAAATAGTGTCCTTGACTAAGAACATTTTTCTGATAACATTGCTAACCATTTCACAAAAGGAGTTTTGGTTTTGGTGAAGTGTTAGTTTCTAGAAGAAATTTTGAAATATAAATTAGAAATGTATTGTCTAACAATGTGCACAAAAGTGTCAGTAAATAAGAAAAATAACCAGCATCACTATTCTAGATGACTGTTTTAAATAATGACTGAAGAAGGGCCTGCAACAGAAGCTGCAACCTACTCATACCACTTAGACAACGTATTGTCTAAGCCATAGTTGTGGCATCCTGGACAAGGTGAGAACAGTGGCTGAGGATAATGTCTGAGGAAGGTATTGCATGCATGCAGCAAAAAAAGGAAGAAGGTGGTTGTGAGAATGAGCACCAATAATGAGGTTAAATACACAGAAAACAGTATTGTGAGATAAGACAACCCAAACTATTCTATGATTCTGTGATTCTGTGATAAACAGGCAGGAACTACATTGTGGAAGGCCAGTGCTGAAGGAAAGGACTAATGGTTTGTATTTAGTCTCTGTGTTAGAAGAGCAGTTGGATGAAAGGCTAGGGCACTTTGATGAGATTCAGGTGACCTCATTTTTGTGTATTTTGTGTTTTTTCTGCTACCATTTTGTCATTATCAAATCAGGTCTGTTGTCTACTCCCCTGCTTAATTTTCACCCTTGGTTGTGACTTTTTATTTATAATTTAAGTTTTTGAGGGTAGGGATTGTTTTGGGGACTGTATTTATATCCTTTTAGTATTCTAGTTGCAGGTCAGGCTTCAAACTTCCAGACACTGTTGCATATACATAAATTACATGTAGGTTTATACTGATAACGTTAATAAACTTATTTGGTATGTAAATACCCTCTGGTTTAAGTCCACAGGTATGATAACACTCTCACAGCTATATCTCTAGCAGGCTGTTTTCTAACCTGAATTGGCTGACAACGTTCTCTCTGTAGTCAATTGTTGAAGGGAAAATCTTCCATGTTAAGAGTTACCAGCCACCTATTTTAAATCCAGACACTTATTTTAAATCCAGATAAGTTGCACACAGGAAATGTCTGTTTCTCTCTGTGGCTGATGGAAGGATTTTAAGCAAGTGGATTAGCCTAAAAACTTGAAGGGAAAAACATCTCAGCCTACACTGGGTGCTATTTTGGTGTGTTTGGATTATCAACATTACATTATTCTTCGGTGAAATAGTTTGATTTATGCGTTCTGTCTGTGTGAATCACAGATTTTACTATAGCCATCCAGACTGCTTCCTTTGTTAGCAATTGGATATTTTTTTATTGTTGGCAACAGTATGAGTTAGACTTTCCAGAAGATAGTATTTCGACAAATTAGTTGGATGCCACCTTGTACCCTGGCTTTTTGTTCTCATGGAGAAATTTCCAATGCCCTGTTCTAATTTATTGCTAGCAAGCTATCACACTGCCAGTCTACAGAGTGTTATTATGGCTTGTTTTGTTATTGTTTTTGTTTTTCTGTTTGTTGGTTGTTTTTTTGTTTGTTTGTTTGTTTGTTTGTTTGTTTAGTTTCTTTTTGTTTTGTTTTGGACATGTCTTTGATAAAGACTGAATGTTTTTTTCATGAAAAAAAAAAAGTAATCTTGTAAGTTTGCATTCTTCTCTATATCCATGTTTGTATTATAAAACTATTAATCCAAAGTACAGAACATCCTGTAGATATGTTTCAGGTTTGTAAATCTCCTATTTTTCACATCCTCCAAAAAGATGCAGGTAGACATACTTTCCTTCTTTCATCATTGCTGAAGAATTCACTGTTCTCTGTGCAATGCTGGGAGTGTACAACGCTTATTGCTTACTGGAGTGAAAGTACAGAGAAGTCTGCTGCCTTCAGCAGTTACTATTTTGCATGTCAGTTTTATAAAAGACCACCTAACACTTTAGGAGCTCAGGTACAACACTGAAGTGTATTCAGTGGGGATGCGGAATGCCCTCTCAAAGCAGCTTTCAGGTCTTTAATTTACAGCAGAAGGTCCAGTAACATAAGCGTGGTAGCTGGAGGATGCCTCTTGAAGTGGTGTCTGCTGCATCCAAAATGTTGATGAAGCTGCAGAGCACAACAAGGGTGAGGTGAGTATCCAGATTATGGCACAACTGCCCATTTCCCAGGAATGATCTTGCAGGACCATAGCAGAGACAGTCTGGCAGGATGTCAGGAAATCCATAGGTGACAGGTGTATGTAACTGTATATGCCTTAGAAACAAACATGTCTCATTAGAAAGGTGAACCATCAAGAAATTGGCCACCTTCAGGTACTAATAGCAGCAACAGCCAGAGAGAACAGAGCTTACACATGCTGCACAGCCTTGCTAGGACCTTGGGGAAGCATCTGAGCACCACACAGCCATAACAGCACTGCCAACATTAATGAGCCTAAAGGTAGGTTGGGAATGTCCTTCTGTGCTGCTGTTGCACCTTGATGAGCTGTGATCATGTCTCCCAGACCCCGTGGTGCCATTGAGTCTCTGTGCATTGACAGAGCACAGGTTCCACTTCATCTCATTTCATTCTTGCCTCCCTCAGCAATGTGCAGAAAAGCAGCTGGTGGGAGAGTTGGGCATGAAGCTTTACACCAGCTGAGAACTCCCTTATGCCATGGAGAATTGTAAACCTTTCATTAAGTCTCTGAGCAGTGTAAAGTGGTGGGAAGAGAAAGAGGGATCCTGGCACTCGGCCATATGCACTGCTTTCACGTTGAAAAGCTTGAGCTGAAACAGCCACTGAACCCAAGACTGAGCCTAAGATTCTCTCTGGGGTGTTAGGAATTATATGGTTATATGAGATTGGGACAAAACTCTGGAGAAGAGCCAACTAGAAACTCTCATAGTCTGTGACAGAAGTAGCTAAAGAAGATTGGGATTTTGATGAAAATGTTCTTTATTTCTGATGTGACTTTCTCTATCCCAATGAACAGGCATTTACTCATCTGTCCCCAACCTACAAAGGAGGAAAAAAAAAAAGTGTTCAATTAATATTGTATTCTCCCCTCCATTTGTGTTTGTATTATAAAGGCGAGCTGGTTTTATCCTCTCAGCTTCATTCCATACATCTTCCTTTAAGTTCCTCCCTCCTTCCTTCTTCCAACCTCATCCTTACCCCTCTTTCAGAAAGCATAGTTTTGGAGAGATCAGGAACAGGCTTATCAGAGCTCAGGAAAAAAAAAATAATAAAAAGTTTAAATTAGATGAAATAAGACATACCATTGCTTCACATTAAATTCACCAGGGATCCTTTACCAAAATAATCATTTTTACTTCACTCTTCTGCCCCTAACTCCTACAGTGATTGAGACTCTCTTACCAGTTATCTAGTAGCTTAATTTACTGTAATTTAGTTCTGCATTGCTTTTGATGGCTTAATTACTTTCTAATCATTTTTGGCTGTGGGAGGAAGCCAGGTGAAGGCAGAAGAATGAGATGCTATAAATTATTTGTAATCTAGTAAAGTTACAGTTTCAGTCCAAAATTAAGGTCTTCTTTCACTTGGCATTATATGGAGAGTGATAATCCAAGCAGTCAAGGGAGAAGAAGAGGGAGAGCTGTATTATTATTAACCTTGTTTATTTTAGGTAGAATGCAGAGGTGATTAGAGATGGATCAATTTACTGCTTGTTGAAAACTAAGTCCCTTTCAGAAATGATATTCCAGTCCATTCTACTAGCCCCCAACAGACTGATCCTCTCTGTACTTTTATTTCATTATAAATAATGGGTCCTGTGTTTCTGTTGATCCTATTTCATTCATGAGTAACACGAACAACAAACAGATTGAGAAATCTGTGTACTACTACATCAAGAGTTAGCAGCCACCAGCAGAAGTAGAATACTCTTAACAACCAGCTCTTTTCTAAACCCTGAACGGGGTTTTGTTAGGTTTCTCATAATAAGCTCTTTTTGTTTGCGTTTGTTTGTTTATTTTCCTCCACATAATCTTTATGGAATTGAGTTGCCTAACCTCAAACATCTAATGATGAGATGCCCAAGGGAATTGTACTCACTCTGTCAGAGCAAGGATTTTTATTTTTTTTTTTATTCCAGGTTATTTTGATTCACACCAGGTACTTCCAAGACTTCCATGGCAGTTTGCCTAATAATTCATTAAACAATTCCTCCCTACCTATCCTCCTCTGGTCCTTTCCATTCTCCAAAATCCTCCACCAAAACAATCCTCCAGACCTTCATAAAATAAGCTCTAAACCTGTCACATTTATGAAATATTTAAGCTTTCATGCAGCAAATTCTAACAGTAATATTTCATCTAGCAAAATACATAGCAATTTTTATGCAATGCTATGTAGCATGCCATACATATATATTACGGCTTCATCACTGTATGAACATGCAAATCTTTATCTAGAAAGATATATCAAGTAGGTGTATATACATATATATTGGGCTTAAAAAGTACAGATTAAGATGTGATCTTTTTTGGACTGAAAGAAAAGAACAACAAATGTTATCAGAAACGGAAAAGCAGATATGATTACTGAATGCACACACATACACACAAATGCTTTCCGACAGATAGTGTAATACTGTGGTGCTCAGCTCATTCACATCCAAGAAGGTAAAATAAATAAATAAATAAAAGTTAAAGCTTCAGGCATCAGGCTCCAGGCCAACAATACAGATTGCAAAAAAAGAGCTGCAGGCCCAGCATTGCTGTGTTTGCCAGCTTTGGCATATTGGGTGACAGTGTAATACATTTAGCCCTAATCTAACACATAACCCCATTGTAATTAAAATCTAGCACATTTTGCACAAGGTCACATTTAGTTTTATTGACCACTGTGATGCTGGAAAAAGATTTATGAAGATGGCTTGAAATGTCTCAAGTGCTAACACAAACTGATGTAAAATGTTTCCCCTTGAAAACTGGCAAGGTAATTGTCTTTTTCTTTTGTGATTTCTTTAGAAATCTTTCTTTGTCTGATGACTGCAGTATGCCAGTCAGAAAATTCTCTGTGCCATTATCATGAAGGATTTTGAAATGTCATCCATAGAGTAAAGCTGTAATGGCGTGTTAAAGGCTTTTTTTTTTTTTTTTTTTTTTTTTTTTGTATACAGTCAAGTTTTGTGGATATTCTAACAAGCTGGGGACAGAAACACAAAGTAATTTTTCTTCTGGCTTCCGATGTCATTCCTCTAAGTCCTTCACTAAAATGAGCATGGTTTTCTTTTTTCCATTCCTAATGCAGGTGGAGTGGATTTTCTGTGAGTTGGTCTGTATCAATAAATTCCAAGGGAAGATGGAAATTGAGTAGAGTTAATTCTGGCTTTATGCCAGCATCTATTTGGAGACTGCAAAGATAAAAAAAAAAAAAAAAAAAAAAAAAAAAAAGCTTGAATTTTAATTTAAAAACAGTAACATCCCTCTTTCTAGGTGTGTAAGTCTTAAAGAACCAACGTGGCAAGGAGCAACATCCTTCTCATGACACTTTGGTACACTTACATTTGTCTCTGAATTAGGTTTGAATACCCTCAAGACTGTACTGTCTGGGTCTGCTTCAGCTGATGGAAATAACCAGATTACAATGACAGTTTGGTCACTCACTCTTTTCCTTTGGTAATATCCTCAGTAACAGAAGAGGAAGCAAAAAATGGTAGCTAATTTTCTAGCAACTATCCAATTTCTTGAATAAATTAGTGTTCTGATGTTAAATGTCAGTATAGAATTTTCAGGGCAGGAGGGCATGAGGAACATTTGATATAAATATACGAAGATGCTAAATATTCTTCAAAATATTCAAATTGCTGCAATAAAGTGTCTCAGGCCTAAAGAAGCTAGAATGGATTGCAGTTTCAGGAAACACCACATAAATTTAGAACCATTACAGGTGTCGTCTGACAGTAACTGAAGAGTGTTTAAACTTCAGTGGATATCTAGACTGGGATTTAGAATGACTATTCCATTTCTGTTGCCTATACCTAGATGTCTAACATCATTTTGTTAATGGTTGATATTTTGCTTGGCTTCCACATTCTCCAGAGAGGTAGCTTTTTGCATGTCATGTCACATCTCTCAAACCAATCCATGTGCTTTAGCTTAGTGTCTTAAATTGCATAAATAATCAATTTTAGGCAAATAATCAATTTTAGGCAAAATAATTGAGTCCTAGATTTGCCACCAGACCACAATGGCAACTTAGACAGCCAGTTCATGCGTATACACTGATACAAAGACACCTCAATTAAATTGTCTTAATGTCAAACTGCACACCATGCTGCACATTCAGAGCCAAGACAAATGCCAGGTGATTTGACTTGTTATTTTTATAATTTTTACAGTCTTATAATTTTATAATATGCATTATATGCAATGCACAAGTATAAATTTCATATTTTGATGATTTTATAACTAAACTGACCTGAGATGTAATGATACATTTTTCTCCATTAAAACTAAAAGTGAGTTTATGTACAGTACTGTGCATTATACACTACAAACTGAAAGAGCATGCATGAAAAGATTTAAGGTGGTTCACATACCTTACAGGAAATGGGGAGCTTTCCTACAGTTCACAGTTACATGAAGAATGTCACAGGTTTCTATCTATGGGTGGAGTTGCTGGGTCTGGGAGACAATCAGGCTGTCCGAACATGAAATTCCTGGAAACCATACCAAAGGATCAAACTACCATTATAATCACAGTTATTTCACAGTAGCTGAGTTTTGAAAACTCCCCATTTGCTAGGCATTAGACAGCAAAGCTGATAAAGGGAAGGAAAGGACTAAAGCATAGCAAAACTATATTCCATCTTTACCTAAGGCTAAGAGGTTTTACTTAGGCAGATCATGGATCAGCTACCATTAAGAACATTTATAACTAATAGCAACTTGTTAATGTCTGAGTCTAGAGTGAACCTGAAAAAAATAAATAAATAAAATAAAAATTGAAATCTAGGCTCAGAGTAACATGGATTGTTCATATTTGGGAAAAATAACTTTTTTTTTTTTTTTTTTTTTTTTTTCCCACAAAAGAGAAATGTGCTAACTTTGTGTACCTCAGCCTCAATTCCTGATGTTGTCAATTAGCAGTGAGAGTGTATCACCACTGAGACTAAGGACTTTTAAAAGCAATAGATCTTAATTATTTTTGTTTAGAGAATGAATTTTATGTCTGGAATGGATCCAGTGTATGGATCACCATGCCTTAAAGCCCATATGGGTGGTCTAATGATAATCATTGGAGATGAGGGAAGCTGGATAATTGCAGCAGATATATTATCATAATACTAAAGCCTGCTGGCAGAAAGGCAACTGTAACTAGCAGTAATGAGGCATTTGGTACTGCTTAAAAGCAGAAATTCTGCTAGGACAGTTACAGACATTTTCAATATGCTAACAGTTCAGCCACATTGCAGGTGAAGTGGCAACAGAGGAATTTCATGCAAGACAAAAGAAAGGACAGAAAGCCAAAATACTAGCAGGGAGCTTGGAGACAGACTGCAAGTTAAACACTGTACTGAGCTTCATTTAAATCTTCAGGGAAGATTACCTACTTTAAGGGGCAAAATTTCTTAGTCTAAACATAAAGCAATTATATTGCTCTATGGAAATAACAGACATCTCTAGAGGGCAATATAAAATGCTCAGCTTATGTCTTCCTATGAATTGTTCCCTGAAGAATCTCCATTGACTATATTTAAACTGTTTATACTTAAATGGCAGTATTGCCATTGCTATAACGATGTAACAGGTCACAAACTTTGTACTAGATTTGCAAGGCCTCAGGACTCTCAGCTTGTCTTGTTGTTATAACTAACACAATGTAGTGCAGAGAAATGCATGCCTTGTACAACAGCAGAGGCCTCGAAAAGTGGAGACATAGGATGTGACAGAGAGAGGTATAGGCATGGGATAACAAGAGATGGGGTCTTAGCACTGGAGACTTATGGTTAGTAAAAGAAATTAAGAAATAAAGCTGGAAAAAAAATGGATTTAAGGATAGCAGAATACAGAATCAGTGTCTAACATATGTAAAAACATCATATTTTACTATATAGTAAATTCAGGTGTAACATGGTGTTGCAGATCAGTGGAGACAGGGAATAGGTATAAAAGTGTGCTACAAAACATAAAAATGATCCCAAGTGAAAAGTGTGAAAAGAAATCATCAAGATCCTATTCCCCCCAGAGAAGGACTCTGTATGCTGATGACTCTCCATAATGATGAGGGTGCCCTCATCAACACCACCAGCACAAAACCACTGACCTTAGGATCCAGAGAGATGAGTGACACAGAAGAGTGAGCACACCACCACAAACAGTGGTAGAAACTAAGACATGTACAAGCAGCAGTG